TAATGTCGAATTTACCCCCTGAAATAACTTGGAATACTCCATTGTATTTGAGAACCGAAAGACCTCATTCAGTAATATAATAAAGTTCATTGTTGATTCATAGCGACAGTAATAATATACTATACTCAATACAGTCAATTAGTCAAATTAAAAACATTATAGGTATAATTTATCGGGTTGTGGTCAATTTATTAACAGTGTCTATTTATTTTATACTTTCGACAATAGTATTTAGATTTAAAGTATAAAAATAACTCCATTATTTTCCTTATTACATGGAAAAATAATATTAGTTTTAAATGTGTTTTTTTAAATATATTTATTATATTTTGAGACGACACTCGACATTTGAAATCCTGAGCTCGAGGGTATATAATAGTTATAATCGGATTCTCAAGACAAAATACCATTGTATAATGAACCCAACAATAACATAATATAAACTAAAGGTAGGTAAATAGAAAAATAGAAACTTTTCAATGTTTATACTCGAAACGAATACAATATTTAAAAGTTCTTTTGGGACTGGGGATGGCCTCGCACATGACACTTATATCTTAAGCATTTGATATTGATTAAATTACAATAATAACAATACCTAAAATGCGAGGAACCTAAATATTTTTCTTGGACAGGCACGTATTGGTTCTATAGCAGTAAATATTTTTAGAGCTTCCACCCTTGAGATTTAAAAATACATTATTGAACGATAACGGCAAAAAAATACAGCCAAAAAGGAGCTGTATTTTTGAAGTACTTGTTCAATTCCGCAAAATGTTTATTTTAAATTATCACGACTGTTTTATTAATGAATTAGTTTTGCTCACTTATGTACAATGATCTGAAAAATAAACTGGATAATATGCTATATCTATAATTTATGTTAATATTTGAAATTATTTTTACTACCTATGAATTTTTGACTTTATAATATAATATTATGTTTGTATAAATGTATATTATAAAATATGTAGGTACCCATTATGCATAAAGCTATCCTAAAACCATGCATAAAAGTTTAATGTATTTCAATTTTTTTTAGTATACATTTAAACCTACGGAAAATAGAATAACTGAAAACAAAAATTATGCGTCGGATTAATGTTGTCATTTTATAGAAAACTGGTATACACGCCTATATTATATAATGTCATACGACAAAAATACAAAAAATGTATAATTTTATTTTATACACTAAATAAAAATATATAAGGTCTAACAACATTTTTGACGAATGACGTAAAAGAGCATTATATTTTAAACAGGATATACGCGATGATATCCTGATTAGATCCGTAACGATTAATACGTGGGTTTTAAAGAAACCAATTCAATATGCGTAGGCTTCGTCTAAAGACATACTAAATATAATATTGTTATCAATCAAACAGTAGCCGTAGTTTAATACCATTAAAACAACACGATATCCTTGAAAGTTTAAATGTTAGTTTCCATGGCAGTACTGTTTTGAAATGTAATTTTCGATTTCTTCAATCGAATTATTAGTTTGCCAAAATTCAGGAGAAATAATTTTTACTCTATTACAATTATAATGTACTTAATAAAACTATTGAAACTTAAGATAAAAGTTCAAAATATTTGTTGATAATATTAATTATTATAAACTTAAAGATCGATCGATTAAATGTTATAATACTTAATGCTATATAAATGTACATTTGTATATACATACATAATATTATGCATTGTATAAAATAAATAATTGCATTTATATTTTATATCTTTTATATTAGGTAGGTATAGGTACTTAATATCATACAAAATATTATTCCAAGTAAAGAGCTCGGTAAAGAGGTACAAAATTAACTGTGATTATCATTAAAGTATATTACATTTAAATAGGTAAAATGTTTATAAAATAATAAATATTATCATATTTTGTCTATTTCTTTAAAATTATAATTATCGCATTAGTACATTACTAGTACATATTATTCATACATTTTAATGACATGCAATATTCGTTCACTCCGAACCTAAAGATATGGGAAGAAGATTTTGACTTATAGTTAACGAATAACGGAGCAGCATAATATTAAATTAATAATCTATCATGTATCCGTAAAAACAAGAACAAACGGCACTAAGACTTAGAGAAAATGCCGGATTAAAATTTAAAAAAAAAAAATCTTATTTAGAAACCTCCGATATAAGTACAATAGTATAACGAACATAATACTTTTGAATACTTTTATTGTTGCATTCAATATAAATAATAATGAAGTATAGTTTAAATAGAAAGCGATTAAACTCAATTAAATAGTGGGTAGTGACTCGTGCGAAAATAACGCTATACGATATAATAATATTAATAATATAATATATTATAATCGGACGCGTAAAGACTTAATCTCAAGCGTAGAGACATGTCGTGACAAGAACTGCAGGTAAAAACAAAACGTCTGGTTGTCGGTTTTACACACACGCCAAACAACCATAATATTATAATGACGATAACTACCATCTCCCAGGCTGAACATTTGTTTCCATAAACGTTGCGCGACTTTTCTTAGTATGGAAAACACCAGTTTGAAAAAATATGATAAGAATAATAAGAACAATGAAGCAAGTCCGGAAAGAGGACGTAGTTTAAAAACACAAGCAATACGATATTATATAACATCAACGAGATAAAGTGCGCACTATGTGTTTTGGTACTGCGGTGTGGTGTGTCAGAAAAACGTGTTAAGTTTGTAGCTCATAATCTAATGTATAAAAATCTCGTGTCGAGGGGCTTTATAATAATATTATATTATTATATTACTACCTATTATAATATAATATAATAAATATATAAATATTATAAAAAGAAAGAAGAAGTAACGAAAATGTAAAGTCTTTGTATAATAAACCAGACATACTCTATTTTATTAGGAAAAAACGACTATAGAATGGTTCGGACATGCATGGTGGGCAGATGGACAGTTAATTAAAAATGTACTTATAAATAAAATAAATAAAACAAGACCCCTAGGACGACCCAAAACCCGATGGATTGACGTAGTTGCCAAAGATATAGTAATGATAGACCAGAAACAGCATATCAGATAGAGAGGTGGAGAGAGATTTTGATGGAGAGATTTCTGAATGGACCGCTAAGCTGAAGAAGAAGAAGATAAATATTATAAATATTATGGATAATATGATTTATCTAGCTGTGCAATGAGGCCTATAGAAAGTTCCGGAGGAGCTAGTGAATAATTTTTTTTTCGCCGAGTTAGTCTACGAATTGTTGTCAGTGATGATGGTACTGGGAGCGAAAGACAAGGGGATAGACAAGACGCTATAATACGTGCTCTGGATAATTGGCCATCCTCTTTGGTCCGTTGATTGACACGCGCGCGCGCGCCCCCTCGACCACGAGTGGCGTCCCGCACGTCAACATGGTATATTATAGTAGTCGTATAGTACAATATTATATACGCTGTATTATATAGTAGTAGACCACTCTAATAAAAAAATAATAATAATATTACACGCCGCCGCTTACAACCGTGAAAACGTTTTTGTCGAGTGTTTACTGAACACTGTTCCTATTACGACGACTACTACAACTCTACCCACCCATGCAGTCGGTGTATAGACTATAGCCTATATGAGGACCTATTGGGCGAAATCCAACGGAAACACAACACACAAACACACGCATGCAGCGAGTAATATTCTAAATTCCGACGAATGTTGGTTTTTTTTTTAGATAAACAACAGGATGTTCTTAACAAAAAAAAATACAGTGACGACGACCCTCAGGACATTGTCAGTCGTGCACTCCAGCTCAAATATTATCGATGAATTAACCAGTTTCCCACCGTACTTGGAAAATGTATAGCATAATAACATATAGGTGGTAGCCGGTATTATGTTTGCCATCGGACGGTTGATGACAAAAAAAAAAAAAACTACCTTTATATTTATAATTTTACTGCCTCGTCGACCACTCTGACAAAATATTGTAAAAATTAATTCAAAAAAGAAAAAAGACAATAGCGAAGTTCAGAAGCACTAGACTTCAAAAAAGTGGGTCACGATTTTCCGCTTTTTTATTACTACTATATTATTCCACGTTTGAACATTTTATTATAACTTATAACTTATAACCCTCCTGCATATTATGTACCCACACGGTTTTATTCTGACGATATTTTTAGAAATGCAATTACTTCCGATGGGATTTCGATTTCAGATTTAAATTGTATGCATATTATACACCCTATAACAGGAGGGTCGGTAAAAAACAGCTGTTTTACACATCTATAGCTGTCGTTCGGAATTTGAAACGAACGGAATTTTAATCATTCGGAATTCAAATCGGTTTACCATGTACAACAACGTGCGCTATTATAACGATAGTAATATTATAAATTATTTTGTATTATGTATTGTGCTTTCTTAATATTATCTTGTAACCAACAGTAGTGCATTATCTTATGACATTAAGGATAGATTTGAGCACATCAAAAACCTAAATCGGTGTATTATGTTAACTCTTTCTTAAACACAAAAACGGAATACCGTATCGGTATCGCAATGTGTGATACACACACTGACTTCGGTAGAAGGAAAAACGAACTGGTGAAAAATATATAGTGTGCGATGTTGATAGTTTTCAGAAAAATAGCTTTTTTCGTGTTTCGAGGGGTGCATTTGAAATATGACGTTATTAATTATGGTCGACTCGTCTGCGGCGAGGGGTGAGCGTTCTAGACGGCGAAGGGACATGATGGAATAAGGGTAGTGGGTGGCCAGGAAAAACTGGAAAATCTCCGAGAAAAACCCGTTCGGTGAGCGGAATCGATATTTTCCGGCCTCGAGCACATAATTTTCACGTCGCGTCGCGCCCCACCCGCGCCCCCAAAACCACAAACCGTTAATCGCCGGTACAGAAAATATTATATATTTTATTTCGAGATTTACTTGCAGACAAGTGTTATTTTAATACAACATATAGATGGATCTAGGAAATGGGCAAGTGGACTTACCGATCGTGGCCGAGTGCAGAAGCAGCACCCAAATCGCCATCGCCGCCGCCGTGTTCATCGTGTGAAGGTGTAACTCTGTTGCGATTTCTTCTCACCCGACTTGGTCCCACGGTGCGTGGGCGGGGGGGTTGGAGTGACTCGACTTTGGCGAAACTCCCGTCCCGGCTTTACGCCGGCGGTTTGCGCGGCGCCGGCGGCCGAACGGCCATCATCCAACGGTATACAACGATCAGCGATCTGCGACGATGATTTATCGGGATCGAAGAGAAATAAAGAACGATTGACGGACGACGACGACAACAACGATGATAATAATAACGATATTAAACGAAGGCGTTATAATCGGGCGGCGAGATGATAAGAGACGGTAAAAAAAAAAAAAAATTTAAATTAAAACCGATCACCTTTGATTTCTATACAACCGTAATACAGTTAAAAAAAAAACAATTATAATTAAATCGATAATAATTAATACTTAATAGCAATAAGTAATAACGATGACGACGACGATACGCGTACCTACGATTAGATAAGACCGAAATCAAACGCGCCGCTGACACGCAAACGCCACACGCGGGTCGAGTCTCCCGATATCGGCGAAGTCAGTTCGATTTTGAAATTGTTAATTTTTTTTTTCCTGTATTTTGCCGCTCGACGAATCGCACGCGCGAGCACGCACACACCGGCCGACTTACGGTAGTAGACTGATCTGCGGCGGGCCGGTTACCGGCAGCACTATATAGATATAATAATAATATGGTAGTGGTAGTAACAGTTGTTGTTATTGTTGTAGTAGTAGTAGTAGTAGTAATAGTAATAGTTGTGGTAGTGGTGTGCGCGCGAAGAGCACAACTACTATACGTAGAGTCACGCGGGGGAAACGCGCGCGCTAGTCGTCGCGGGGCGAATTACACACTGCCGCCGCTCGCCACCGTCGTCGCCGCCGTCGCCGTCGCCGTAGTCGTCGTCGTCGTCGTCGCCACCGTCGGCACTCGGCGGCCGATACCGCCGCGCCGCCGACGTACAGCGCGACGGCGGCGGCGGTGGTGTGTGCGTTTGTGTGTGTGTGCGTGTGTGCGTGTCGGACCAGCCGCCGCCGCCGTCGCTCCCTTCGGAATCACAAGTATTGACCCGAGAGAGTGCGTACGCGACCGACGTACACACGCAAACGAGGCCCGCGGCGCTCTTTTTTTCCATTTCACCCCTCCACCACCACCATCGGCGCTAACCGCTCGCGGTATAAGTGGTGTATGATGTATTTTATATTTTTTTTTTTTTTTTTTTTTGTTACCTTTGAGGGTTTCGCTTTTTTTCTCTACACCCCCAAACCGCGCCCACCCCCGCGAGAAGGCCGTGGTCAAGTCACCGGGCGGCGGCCTCCCCACTCGTTCCCCACCTCATCCCGTTCGTATCGTTCGCGATCGTCCATTCCGATCGGTTATATAGGTACTATATAATACCAAACGTCCTACGTGAGAGATCAAACGGTTTTAAAACACAATAATAATATATATATATATAATATATATTATAATTTATATTATATTATAATATAATATTCCATATTAGAGTATATTATTCAAATATTTGAGCACATAATAATGTTACCTCTTTAATAAGGATTACGGTTTGGTCGTGGCGCGGCGGGGGAGGATGATCGTTACGGGAAAAGTTTTACAGATAAACGCGCTTTGACTTTGAGCGTCAGTGATCTTGAAATAGTATTATATCATCGAAAGTTTATGAAACTATATTACACAGCCATAATATGTACACATATCTATACACATAATAGTTGCACGAAAGTCGAGAGGGATATCCGCATAACCTCGCTGAAATCGCTAATAATATATTACATGGACAGGCACGCCTGTGATGTACTTACGATATTTATATTACTTGCGAAGATTAAACGAACAAGACATATCATACTATGAATCATTTTTCCCCCGCTCTATAGAGGGGATTTTTTTTGGGAAATATTTGGAATAACGTTTGTACACTCTAGTAATGAATAATGATGATGATGATACTGCATGAGGTGCCAGAATAATCTTGCTATACCTATAACGTGTATTATATACTTAAAAATGATCAGCGTTAACGTTATTGACTGCTATATTATAAATTGTGTAACGTGTAATGTGTACTGTGTAGTCATAATACAGAATCAAATCGATATAGATCACTATCCGTGTATCCAACAATATTTTTTTCACGACGACATACTAAATTTTACTATAATATCATATTTTGAAAATTATTTGTAAATTTTTAAACCGAAAGTACATACTTGAAAAAAAAAAGTGATCACGCGTTTATTTCGTGTGGAAAAATAAATAAATAATTTACATACCGACAATATTTTATCTTTATGCGCACCAGTATTAATGTCTTACATATAACTAAACAACTTGTTCCGAAAAAATGAAAAATATAAATTACTTTTTTCTATCAAGAAAGCGGCAAAAACCATTGTTGCATTTCTAAAACGATTCATAAATAATATTTTAGAGAAAGCATTCTGTTTACTAGGTTGGTAACGACTTAAAATTCACAATTCCTACCGTTTGGTTTTGGTAGATCTTATAATATTTAGAATATAGAATATAACAGTATAAATGTTGTATAAACTTGTATTATAACACTTATTAGTAGGTAACTAGTAAGATGGTCATTGAAAAACTATCAGGTGTACATTAATGGTACAAATTAATTTTCTTTGCCGATTTTTGAGATTAAGAAAAATATATTATTTACCAATACTGTTCAGTTATTATTTATGAAAAAAAAAAATGTTCAAAATGACATACATTTACAATTTACTCAATGTTTGAGTCTAAAAAGTTAAAAGGATCTCTGTACATTTAGCACTTGAATAGTTCAAGTGATCAGTGGCGTAGACAAGGGGGGCAGATCCCCCCCCCATTGACTTTTTATTACCCGAGTAAAAAGTTTTGAGAGGCTGGGGGATTTTTCAAATTTTCCCTCCCATAAGCTATGTCGTTTTTTTTTTTTTTTTTGATCCCCCCCCTTTCAGGAATCATGTCTACGCCACTGCAAGTGATGTACCTATATAGTAAACAGTATAAATAGCATATTTTACTATGTATAATATATATATTCGAATATTCGATATTGTATATTATATAATTAATAGGATTATAATATAATATTGTCGCTAACTCATGTCCCATGCAGTTTATCATAATATTGTAATAAAGGTATTCGTCATTAGTATTTGTAGTACCTATAAATTAAAATAGTTATACTTATTACTTTATCGGTTACCACAGCAGAAAGTGGAAACCACGAGGTGCACACATTTTATATAGTTACGTTATCTTATCTTAATATCTTAAGATATCATAATTGGATTAGTTTTGCAATGAGACATTATAATGCATTAATGCAAATGTAGTTTAAATGTAATATTGTATTGATGTGTACATAATATTAATGTACATATAACTGTGTAAGACGATATTTTGTTAGAATTGGTAGTCCATACCCCATAGACCATAGTAGGTACCTATACATTAGACATAGGTACCTACCTATTATAGCCTTAGGTAGACTGATAAGTAATAAAACGTGATTTTAATTTTATCTTGAACGATTTTCTTCGCAGCATTAATAATTATTACTATATACAATAAAAAAGTAGAAAAGTGCAATATCGTCCATATTAAATCCTTACCTGTACTTACTATTTACCTCAGTAGGTAGTACCTACCTCTAATAAATCAAAAATCATTTAATATGTACAATGTACATATCTATATCTAGGTACCTCCAAGTTCCTTACAAAATGTATTATTTTTAAGCTATTTTTCCGTTTGACCATGAATTATGGTATCAATGTATTATGTTGTAATGTTACGAACAAATTACACACAGTTTATATATTTTGAAATTAATTATTTTAATGTCAGGTACCAGCTAATCAATCAGTGGTTTCCGGTCAACATAGTATCAAAAACCCAAATAACTAATAATATACATATATATTGTAGGCGGTATAAAAATATCGGAAAGTGACAGAACATCATAATTTAATAAAAACATTAAACAATACAATATAGTATTGTTAAATTAAAAATATCATGTAAAAAATGTATAATATACATGACATATTATGTAATATGTATAGTAAAATGTCAATAGTTTTAATTTTGAATCGATTGCATTTTAGACTTAATGCACACAATAGCATCACACTATCACACCATCAAAGTATCAAAGTATCCAAATGTATTTACTATGCATAATGAAAGTATAAATATATAAGGATATAAGGATGACGTTTTAATGTTTACAAAATGTAGGTATATGCTAATTAAATATTAAATAGGTATAGGTTATCCGTTGACCGTTATAGCGGTTATTCTCATGTCTCACAATATAGACGATAGGGTTTATGATATACGATGGTATATATTATTATAAGATAGATATTATAGATATATCTTAAATCTTGGATAGACCTACCTCTGTTATTGGGCTTGCTGTATTTAATATTTTAGTTTTCCTAGTTTAACCGAGAAGCGCTATCAGCCATACAAAGCTTATTATTGATTATGTGCCAATTTCATGCATAATATAATATTGAATTAATATTTTCATAGCGATTGTGATTTATTAAACTTTATTATTAATATTATATTTATTATATATATAGTATCTGATATGGCAGATTTGTTTTTTTTTTTTAAATTGGACGCTAATCGGAAATAAAAGTTAATTTAATGAAAAAAAAAACTGTTGTGAATATTCTTAGGTATTAAAAATAATAATTTTTTAACTGGCAAAAATGTTACCATCGCACAGACTTCAATCAAGAATAACGATCTTATCGGCTATCATCACTATACAAAGTATACATGTCCTGTATTTTTATTTTTAAATTTACGTTTTTATATTAAAAGTATTTAACATTTTAAAATTGAAAAATATTTAGTTTTTCATATCATCTAACTATTCTGACTTTTTTTTTTTTACTGAACAAAAATATATATTTACAATCTGTATTTATAAGTTATACAATAAGTAAATTGG